AACTTTTTTATAATATATATTGTCTTTTAAAAATAATTAGACAATTTAATTTATTTACATTTTCAAAAAAAAATGCTTACTGATGATAATTATCAAAAATTGTCCTTAAAAATATATAATTTTTTTATTGAGTGTTGATCTCTAAATAAAGTTTTAAAGATTTTTGAATTTACAGATATTTTCGTTTTCTGAATTGAATAACAAATAATGATATTTCATCTGCAAGATCATTGGTTATGGACTTTAAGCAAAAGTACAGATCATAAGCTACATACAGTTCCTAAATACCAGTAATGTAGCTCATGCAGGAAATTCAATCATTCAAAAATAAATAAATAACATTACTACTTTTGCAAAAATGATAACATCTTAGAATGATTATGATTTGTTAGATCACATCACCGAAACCTGATTAATGTGTGAGATAAGGCAACTGCCCCTCAAGTGGCAAAGTGTTCAAAAGGAGAAAAAATAAATAAAAATAATAAGCCTAGTTCAGTGAAATCCAGTAAATGTACTTTAAAGTTGTTTATAAACAGTTCATACAAAAGTGTCAGTGTTAAGTTTACAGGACCATCAAAAGCTTGGTACGGGACCCTTTTGCTTTTTTTCACGAACAAATAAATATAGAGGATGTTTCTTTATTAATAAATAAAACTCTTATTAAAAATAGCATTCTTTTATAGGAATAGACCCACCACTACAAACCCCTAAGTTTATTCCAGGCCCAGGCAAAACTTCCCAGCTTATCACTTTGAGTTTCCCACATTCTGTTTAGAGGGGCTTTCTATTGGCAACTATTCTGGAAGCAGGGATAACAAAAATCAGTTTTACCACAGTTGCAAATTACCATTGAGCCACCCCTGCCTATCACATTAATGTTCTTGAAACAAACAAGCCTAATATGACTAAAACTCAAAAATACAATTGTAACAACACAGTATTGTATTACATTGCCAAATCATCTATTTTCTTTTTCACTTTATTTTTAAATATGTACATATTTAAGCAAATACTATTATCCCAGCTATTACTGATGTTCATTAAAGTAAATACCTTTATAACATATCTACCTGGCTATCCCAATATAGATTTCTGACTTTGGAGATATTTTAATGAAAAAATATTTTAAAATAGTTTAACTCCAAAAGAATTATATTGTATTAATGTAACTATTATTTCAAAAGATATATTTCAGAAATATTTAATACAGAAATTAATAGTATTATATTCATACAAATATTAGTAGTATTATAATGAAGCTATTACCTATTTAGAATAATGTATATACTTTCAATACAAATTATTAAATAAATCACAATTTCTGAACACAGTAAGAAATATTTCTTTATAAAATTGAATAATAATTGATAAATTTGTAAATATTTTATTTAAAATATTTGTTATTTTTGAAAGATCTTATAAATATAATAGGAGATCCTGACTGTGTTGCAGTTTATAATAGTTCTTCATGTAAATAATGTTTATCTTATAATATATACGTATATCGATTAAATAACCATAAATAATGCATAGTAAATTAATAGTAATAAATATTTTGAAAATATACAGATGGTGCAATTATTAGGCTGTTCACACATCATGGTGTCTGAACACCTAATAATTGCACCATCTGCCTATTTTTAAATTGGCCACATTCACTGAATAGTCAGTGAGTATATTGGTTAATATAGATTTTTAATATTACTGTACACAAACATAAAGGAATATATGCATAGATTTGTATGCTAACTTTAATAATAGAATTTATCATATAGTTTTATGTTTAATTCTGAACTTGCTTTGAAAATATTTTATGTGCATCTCAGAGTGGGTAACTAGCATTTTCTTATATATATATATATATATATAAATGAACGTGTGTGTCCCTATATTTCACTTTTTAGNCTGTCCATAATATGATAAATATAAAAAATTATATTTCAGAAAATTCAAGTAAATTTTATTTTCCTGAATTGAAGATTTTATTGTAATATTTATGAGCAAATAAAAATACATTGGGGATTTTTCAATTTCCAAAAGATAAATCTCATTTAAGGGAAACATATAACCTTCTCTTGATGTTATGCACAACTGAACTTGTTTTGTCTCACATAATATTACTAATTCCAATTCCACTCGTTCTTGATTTAGTTCAACAGCAAGCTGCATATAATTTATTACCTTCTAATTATGAAATTTTCTAACTAATCTATTTTGTATTAAAATTCAAGTTTTATTTGTTTATGTTATTAAAATAGTGAGTTTTGTATTTAAATGTATAAAAATCAGTAAAAGATTTATCCTGGTTTGTTCTCTTGATTATTAATATTGGCAGCTGAAATATGTCAATAACAAACAAAAGCAGATACAGTGGGTGATCAGTTAACAAACAAATCGGATAACAAACACTTTCGCAAAAGATTTTTATGTTCGGACAACGAACACCTAATCGGATAACAAACACCTCACAGAACAAACACAAGAAGAAGCAATGTAAAATAATAAATACAGATTGGTCTTTCCTTGTCTTCGGACAACAATTCAAAACTTTTTGGAGCACGGGAGACATCGACATCAATGCTCAATCCGGTATATACTGATTGGATAGTATTCCTCCAAACTTTGAAACTCTTCTTTGTAATTCCAGCCTTTTATTTTTCTGACAGAAACAATTCCTTTATAGTATTCGAGAGACTGTCAGGCGGGCACTCGTTAAGTTTTGCATCAGTTTTTATTTTCGAAAGGTGAAAGTATAATAGCAAAGGTAGAGAGTGGGCAGAAGATGTCTGATGTTGCTGGGCAGTATGGCTCAAACAGGTCTACAGTAGGCCACAGTTTAATCTTATCTAAGAAAGATACTGTATAATCAAGAAGACTCAAGCAGCTAAAGGAGTAACAAAAATCACATCTGAGAAATAAAGAACGTTGAAGAGCTCATAATAAACCTGAAACTAATCTGACGACAGAAGAATGCCAAGAACTCTTCAATAAAGAACACCAAGAAACTCGGTGAGATGTGTTTTCTTCTGAAAAAGAGAATTAATGTTGATATCTGCTATTAAACATTTTTTTTGAAGAAGTGGGATGATGTCAGAACGACGGTCTTAGAATGGCATCCAAACCAAGTTGAGGTTAATAGGCTTAGGGATCTCTACAATTACAATGTTATTAATTACTTCTGAAAAATCCTGGAGAAGAAAGAAAAACAATTGACATTGGACAGATTCTTTAACCCTCACAAACAGAGAAAGCATGACTAATAAAAATGCAAGACTGTGTATATATGTATTTTTACTATTACATATAAATAAACATAATAAATAAAAACCATAAAAATAAAATATCCAAAAAATAAAAAAGTATATATTTTTTATTGTTTTGGAGTCTCTGGAACGAATTAATCAAATTTCCATAAAAACCTATTATAAATCAATAATTGGTTAACGAACAATTCAGATAATGAACAGTCTTGGAACGGATTATGTTCATTAATCGATCACCCACTGTATAATTAAAAAATAGCTCTCAATTATGGAAGTACATTAGAATAAAAAAATAAGGATACAACAAAATTAAAAAAAAACTGAAAATATTCTAAATAATCATATTAATTATAAAACTAATATATCTTTTAGATACATTAGTTTTATAATTAATATGATGAGTTTTATATGATTAATATGATTTTATATAATTAATATGATTAGTTTTATAATTAATATAATTATAATTAATATGATGTATCTAAAAGACTACTGTATAAAACTAATGTATCTAAAAGATACATTAGTTTTAGTCTGAATTTAAAACTGTATTATTTATATCAAAATTTATGATAATTTGAAATTCCTTATATTTAATGGTCATATGGTAATTAAGTTATGTATTAAAATGGTTGATACATAAAAGTAATCCAAAAGCCAATGAACTACTTTGAAGTAAATATTATTGTAGTTTCTAGTGTATATAGTGAGATCCTTCATACTCAATGAATAATTTACATTTTAGTATACTATTATGAATTTTCAAGTACAGCATTTTTCATTGTCATAATTTGAGTAACTTAAACTGAGTAACAATCTAAGATTAACTAAGTCCAAGCTGAATTTTAATTTCATAATAAATTGATCATATCTTGATTTGATTCACAATTATTGAGTCAAAAAAAATGTTATAAAATAATTGAACTGGATGTTCTTTGTTAATACTAGCGTTATTACTAATATCAATAAAACATTTTGAGTATACTTTTCTTTCCATAGATTTTTTACATAAATGCATGAACAACTTAATTGAAAATACTCCACTTAAAACTTTCCCTTATTCACAAACAGAAAAATGTTAAAACTTGGACAATTCTTAAAATTTTCATTGTTGAAATCATTAAGCTTATTCTACTTTAAATTTTTAATAAAAATTACAATAATTCAAAAATACTTTTCATTTTTTAGATAAAATTTTTGAGAATTTGTGAACTTGGTTCTTAAAATTTACAAATAGTAAAATGTGATATTTGTATGGTATATTGTGTGTATTTAAAAAAATTAGCTGAAAACAATCCAAGAAAATATTATTTTCATGAATTTCATATCTAATTTATAATCAATTTATAATCTACTTAGCAATCAAGTTTAATTGATATATGATTTATTATAACTATTCTTAAGACTTGACTTTACCTTTAACCTCCTTGAATGTGTATTAATGATTAAATATGCAGTATTATTACAGAAAATCATCTTTAAAGGAAATACTAGTATAATATATTAAAAACAATATCTTTTCATATTCCCATAAAATATTCAATGCTTATCTTTTGTAGATTATATTATTCTATGTAAATTCTATCTACATCAAAGTTTCAGTTAGCATCAGCAGAATATAGAGAATCTGTTTTCACAAATAATACTTTCATCTATATATTTCAAATTTAATCATTTACACAGCACTATTTGTAAAGTAGTATTAAAGTGAATGTATTTAATTTGAAATCTTACCTATACCAAGTCACTGTAGCTTTGACCTTTGAATCAATTTTACAGAAAAATTCAGCTGATTTTCCTGATTCCACACTCTAGCAAAGATTAAAGGAAAAAACTATTAATTTCATAAAACAAAACAAAAAATATTTTAAAATAAAATTATAAAAAACATTTTAATAAAACATTTTATTGTAAATATTTATAGAATTATATTTTAAGATATATTTTTCTCTTAACTTATATTTTTTAAATAAAATTTATTTAAAAATTATAAGTTAGAGTCCTTCCCAGAGTCCTTAAGGTGGAATGAGTTAAAAATTAAAAATANGACCCCCCTATAAGATATAGATACGTTCCAATTTATTAGGAATCCGATTTCTTACAAGTCGTTCCAATCACAGCCCGACACGTGTCAAGTTTACGGACTACGGCTGATTGAAAGGTTTTCTTCCATAAAATTAATCGATTCTACACTAATCTGACTCAACATTTCCAAAATACGTATATTTTTTCATAGTTTTATAGGAATCGTAATTATAGGGACCGTAATTATAGGGGGGTCGACTGTACTTCCTATCTAGTAATCCTGCTAAGGTTCAAAATGTTGGTTCATCACTCCTAGAAGTTCAGATATTGATATAATGCAAAATAGACACACTAATACACTCGCATAGTCAGGCACACACGTTCATACTTACATTCACAGACACTCGCGCTCTCACACAGCTACAGACTTTTATAAGTTTTGGGTTCCTGAGTCGAGAAATGCAAGAAAGAAAGAAAAAAAAACCCGAAAATGGGCAATATTTGACCAATTACCATACTTTCCCTATGCTATATTTTATAACAGCTAGGAAAATGAAAATACAGTATCCGGCAAACTAATGAACTTAAAATTTATTTCTAAATATACATACAATTCTTTTAAATAAATGTTCACTTACATTTGACCATTAGCAGCAGAATATAGTGCTGCATCTCCACTTCCATCAACATACTGTACATATGCAGGATGAACAGGCTGTGCTGATTGAAGTGTGACAGTACCCTGATTCTGATTTTCTTCTGAAACTATAATTATAATAACTTAAAACAATTACATAATCACTACAAAAAATGTGGATGAAGATGAAATAGTAATAAAAAATAGATAAATAATATCTTTATTGAAATGAAAATTTTAATAAAAATAAATCTTTCTGATGAATTATCTAGTTATGTTTTATAATTTTTTACATTTATAAAAAAAAAACTTGAATATAAAACACAAATAAAACGAGACAGATGACATAAATAAAATCTTAAATTATAAAAATTGTATATATCTAAAATTAATTATTTAAAACGATGGAGTCAGATTATTTTATCAAATTCTTATGTAATTGTATTGTAGAAAAATACACAAAAAATCAATTTTTCTTTCTGTTCTGACTTACAAAGGGTGGATAACTTCAAAACTCTAAAACATAATGTAAATAATGAAATAAAAGTTAAAAGTAAAAAAAGTTTAAAGGCAAACCCAAGTGCAGAGAAAACACTTTATTACGTCGATAAATTCCCTAATTTATCAATATAAGAATTCAATAAAAATTGTTTTGAGTTCTAAAAGTTGAGTTATTTAAAAAATCCAAAGTTAGAGAAACAAACATATCAATAAAAAAATATATCAGCTTGGGGTCAACATCTAAACCCCCTCATCCACAATGAATACATTTTATTTAGAGTTGGGGTTACTTACTGACCCTCCCTCATCTGGATTTTCATGGTACACTTTTAGCTTTTGGATGCAATTGTTAATTCAAATATCAAACAAGATTCTTTCATCAGTCTATTAAGGCTAAATAATTATTAAGTAATTTGGCTGAAGGTAGGTAGTTAGCTATCATCTCTCATTAAATCTAATAATGATATATGAATCAATTTTAATTTGATTTATTTATAATTATTAAATTTAGCTAGAGACGAAGGCCTAATTAATAACCTAATACAGGAATCTGGCTGTTTGTTTGAAATTTGAAGAGCTTAAGTGTATTTTAATTATTCAAATATAATTTAAAATTGAATGAAAGAAAATTTGTATAGAAAAAGTTTTATATAATGTTGATGTTATATTGTGGCCGTCGGCCATAGTATTGTATAAAATATATTAATTTTAGTTAGTTTTAAGTTTCTTTGTTCCTTTATTTCTGACTTTTCTAGAACCTTCCTTTCCAACCTTTTCCCTTGGGTGGGATTAACAATCCCAAGAAATGGGAATGGAACAAAGGGTGAAGTGGGACCCTAAGGCAAAAAAGAACAAAGGAAAGAGCAGTCGAGGTGGAACTCTCGAGGAGGACTGACGAGAGAAGGTAGTGCTCTGGATCGCGTGTGAGACGATCGGAGACTACGAAGCTAAAGGAGAAGTCTGGGCTCGAAGTCCGTAGAATAAGGACGGAGAAGTGGTGTAGCGTCAGATTGAGTGTAAAACAATTAGAAGCTACGAGGAGCCAGCGAATCGATAGGAAGAAACTCTTATAATAGAATTTTAGAGGAAGCCATCGAAAGAATCGTACGAAAAGACATAAAGGAAGGACGAGAGACAACGT